TGTTTGCAGCTCCAACGGCTCCTGCTGGGCCACAACAGAGCTCCAGTGTAAAAATCTTTCCAGATTCAGCATGAGACTCATTCTATCAATGCTCAAATGTTAAGCAGGGCCGTAACTGGCTTATATTTGGACAGAAAATCACCAGGGAATTTCTGAGCCTGTAGATCAGATTAGAAAGTTGGAAGGAAACATCCCTGGAAAGGCAATGGTAAATCATGTCCTTACACCTAGCAAGAAAACATCACGGACAAATCCTTTAAGTCTAAGCAATCACACTGGATTAAGTTCCCTTTATTCCCTTGTTAGTTGCATGGTAAATTTGAGGGATATCTATTGCTATTTCAGTGGCAGATCCTGTGAAATTATAAAGAAAGTCCCCCTGTATGTATTACAGGTTTTTAGTAGTAATGATTGATTTATTATGTGCCATCAGGTTTTTAGTAGTAATGATTGATTTATTATGTGCCATCAGGTTAGTAACCACACACATCAATATTCTCCCTGATGATCTGTCTTTCAAGTCCTCCAATAATGCAAACATCACAACTGTAACTGAACAGTTTATTTTATTGCTGGTTGTTTTCCTCTTCTTTTTCCTTCCTCCTTTCCCAGCATTAACACCTTCTGCAGAGTGTTAAGTCTCCACATAATGTGTCTGAAATAGGATAATTTGAACCTGGTCATTTGTGGCTCAAGTGGGAACCCTGGATTAATTTTTTGACAACCCATTTGTTTGTTTTCTTGCCTGTCCACAGTGTACTTAGGAGTCTTCTCCAACACCAAAGTTGAAAAGTTTAATACTCTTCCTATTCTGTTTCAAAGTTCCAGCCGTAACTTTAGCTTGAAACTATTTTGCTTTTTGAAATACTAAGACTATTGAGTGTTGTACTACTCAATAGTCTTAGTATTTTAAGTCATATACTGTTGGTTGATGCAGCTTCCAGGCCCCCAGTGGTTTTATTTAGAGGAGGGGTGTCAAACTGGATTTCTTTGCGGGCCGGATCAGCATTGTAGTTCTCCATGGACTGGCCAGGGGGGAGGGGGGAAACGGGACAGACGCCTCCTGCAGTACTCCACCAGCCAAAACGGGGCATGGGGGGGCCCGCACGAGACACCCCCACACTCCATTTTTCGCCTGGACGGCCTCTAAGCTGCAGGAAACATAGAGGCACTTTATTAGAAGAGAAGGAAGCATATGCTTTTTCAGGGCACAGTGAAAATACTGCAGATCATAACAGTTAAAAGATAGAAAACCAATGAGCCATTAATTGGTCAACCATTGAGATAAGAATCTTAAGGTCAGAGGTTATGTTTGTAATTGTTGAGAAGTGCTAACATTCTCTCTTCCTTTTATAGACATGAAGGAACCAGTGTTTGACTTTGTTCAGCCACCCAAATATCATCCTCCCCAGAAGAAATATCCACACCGTCAGCCCCTGAGGTACCTAGACAGGTACAGGGACAGTGATGAACCCACCTATGGCATTTACTGACCAGACGAACATACTTATTTCCATAGGAGATCTGAACAGAGTAATTTGTGTGTTTGGCTCCCAACCCCCACCCACCCCGAAAAAAGAACAGAAGTCCATAAAATATCATTGAAAGTGATCCAGTTTACCACCCACTTGGAAGAAAATCCAGTTTCCATCTCTTGTGTCTCAGATGTGTTGCTAATCTTTTTCCAGTATTTGATCAAGAAAACTTGAAGAATAAAATATTTTTATTTGAATAAAATCAGACAATACATTACATGTTACAAAAAGTGATCGATTGCTACAGAAGCTGGAGTATGCATTATCTTTCATATTAAAAGAGAAGGAAAAGCATGATTTCAAAATATTTGAAAACAGTTTCCTGGAAAGAAGCACATGGAATCCTTTGCAGGCATAGGTTGCTGGGACTGAGTGGCATAGGTGTGGGCTGTAGTTCCAATGTAGTTCCAATGTACCTGCATTAAAGCCTCCAAATAAGATTGTATGAGAATGTTTTCCTCTGAGCCAGTCTTGTCTGCTGATGACTGTATAAACAAGTCGCTGCAGTTTCCTTGGGAAGAGTTTCAGAATTGGTTTACCATTGTGTCAGCATTCAAAGTATCATGCAGAATTAAATCAGAGTCCAAGGCAAAGCGATCCTTAAAGTTCCAATTTAATAAGTCAGACATCTTGGCACACCTGTGGAATCCCAATTCTGGAAGTTACCTAAGATTCCCACCCAGTTGAAAGTTCATGATCTTGTCCCCACACCCACAAATCCATCACATGGTCCAATCTTCTTCTTCCACACTGGCATCTCCACCCAGGCTTCCGGTCAGGTGCAGAGGTGCGGAGGCAAAAGATGACCTTGGGCTTCTAGAAGAGAATGACAATACATTCCACAATTCTACTCTTTCTATTCCCCCCTCCCAACTACTACACCAGTGGTTCCCAAACTTGGCAACTTTAAGACTTGTGGACTTCAACTCCCAGAATTCTCCAGCTGGGAGTTGAAGTCCACAAGTC